ATTCAGAACAGCATCAATAAAAGGTAACTTGACAATCAATTAATGAAAAGATTTAAATAGAATTATAAAATGTTATTAATTACAGTCTATGTTACTCGCTTTGTAGTTTTGACTATTAAATATCACAAACTGTAAGCGGCTAATGATAACCTAATGAAATAAAATTAACTTATATTATTTTTATCAAAAGGGGTTTGTGTGGAGATTTCAGAAGTTTCACTGGTTGAAATCATAAGTCAATTGAAGCTAGACCACCACCATGGAAAACCTGGAAGCACTAGACGGCCGTTTCGTCCTAGTATGAGACTCCTCAGTGGCAGTGTGCATCCACGATCCCGCTCCCTCCTCAGCGAGATTCGAACCCAGGACCTATCAGTCTCGCACCAGGCACTTAATCAACTAGACCAATGAGCTGGCCGGTATCCAACGATGTTAATGTCTGACTTCAACTAATCCACGAAGTTGGTTAAAAATAATATGGATAAACAAAAGTTTAACTTGGCAACATCTTCTAAATTCAATAAAATTTTCTGATAATATAAATTTAAACAAAACAGTTAGATTAACAATAGATGAAAATGACATTCAACTTCTTCTTCTTCTTCTTCTTTTTTTTTTGGTTTGTTTTGTTTTACATAATTTAAATCAGATTGTTTTTCCTAATGTGGAAATTCAGTGAAATAAACAAATTGTGTGAAGAAAAAAATCACATTGAACTAGTATATGCTATTGAATGATAGAAATTCATTAATTAATTTAATTAAATTATAATTGTAATAATTGAATTAACGAATTCAGTAATTAATGTTGACTTGCATAACTGTTTTCTAAAAATATCATTCATTAGTTTATATGGGGATAAAGTTAGTACGTAAACTATATCCATGACTATATTGAATGAATGAATGAATGTTAGCGGGACATAGATTAGATTAAAGCATGCTCAATGCGCGATTGCTTTGGTGCACACTGATTGGTTAATTCTTGCCCAATCAGTGCTAGTCGATACTTGGAGAAGACTGTCGAATCTTCATATGTAAAAACTATAAATATACTAACGTTTTTCCTATTGTGCTTCTGCTTACTTCCATCTAACCTTGTTATTTGGAATACAATCACTTTCCTTTTCAACCGTATTCTGATTTGGGGACTTGTCGAGTGAATTAGTGTCCGTGAATACTAAGCAATAGGAATAGCTGGATTATAATCGTAAGAGAGAGAATTATAACAATGAATGAATATGATTATTATGGGAGTAAAATATTGAAATGATGTTATCATGTAATAGATCAGCTGAGAAATGCATGTTAGTTATATTATTAAAACAAATCTGTGTAAATAAAATGTCCTTAGTTTGAACTTTGTACGTTACAATAAATTAAATTTAATTGTTTCTTTTTTTTTGTTTTTTTTTTTAAAAAAATTTTTCAATGTCAAATCAAATGGTGAATTGATGAAATGTTTGTAAAATATGATAATTAGTGTATATCTTTGTATGGATGAATGAATGATAAGTTTATACATCACTATATAATAAAGCCATAGTAACTGTACCCACACAAATAGATCCATTTAAAAACAGTATTTCAAAAAATAACCCAACATAGAAGTATAGTTTAAAAGATTCACAGCATAGTTGGTTTCTCCTATATCCATTTTTAAATCTACGTATTTTGAGATTGTCGAGACTATAATTTATGGATGAGCCAATCAGATTTAAGATAACAGATCTTAGATTTTGGAGAGGAACTTATTCACCCATTTGGCTAAATAGAGTTACGGTTAGGGTTATAGCTGATGTTAGTTCGTGGTCAAAACACTATATATATATATATATATATATATATATATATATATATATATATATATATATATATATATATATATATAACTCAACAGTTAGATTTATAAACAGATTGACAGAACCTCAATGTGATCCTTTATATCAGGATTAGTCAAAAAAGCTGTAATGCGAAGACTAAAGACTATGGCTCTACCAATAGTTAAAGATTTGGATACGTTATGTAAATGACACATCCGTTATCTTGAAATGAGATGAACTGAAAAATACTCAAAAGTTGATTGACGACTTTATAAGTAAACAAGAAACCGAATCACATGAATAACATATTTAACTGCAGTAGTAACAACCCTAAATCATAAAAATACTTGTCGTCAGACACTAATCACAATAGCCAAAAGTCACTGTAGTACCCTCTTCACACGGAAAATTGAAGAAATCGATTGTCAGTCTGTCTCACGTAAGAACAGATATCCTAACAAATTCATCAAGAGATGTGCAGTGAATAAACATACCATTAAAAAGGTAACCCCAGAAACTAAGGAACAGATCATTCTATCCCACGTGAAAATACCTGAGATAGCAGAATACAAGAATTTTGATGCTGTTTGGAATCGGCGTCTATTATAAGCCAATACAATCACTCCATTGCAACAGAAAACGAAGACAGATCTGATATCATTTACACAATAAATTGCACCAGCTTCGAGGAATGTTACATGGTGCAAGGAAACCCTTTAGGGTCCTACTTAATGATAGTCAAGCTAAGAGTATATTTCAGGAACGTCCAGTAAAACGTAGACAAATACGCGCTCGCACTAGAGCATGATCTGAGTCTAAGCATGTGCTCCAGAATGAGCGACAATCTTCCATCGAGCCCCTCCATCGGTGGCTGAGAGCGATGTGATCTATTCAGGTCCAACGTTGGGACGAATTAGGGAGTCGCCATGTCAAAAGATGTTTTTCCTTATGCTCAAAGTCACCAGCGACTATTACTACATCAGAACGCCTAGCTTTTCGGAGAAGGTCGGAAAGCTTTCTGTAAAACTCATCTTTTACATCATCTAAGCTGCAGTCAGTGGGTGAGTAGGCGGAGACGACGAAGGGGCAACGACGAGTGTCCCTATCTTTTCGAGTCCTTACTGTTCCGTTTAGTCGGACAGCACACAAACGACTGTCTACTGAGATCCAGTCTAAGAGAGCTAGTTCCGCCCTAGGACTCAATCCTATACCCACGCCAGCGAGGCCACGGGAAGCAGCATCAGGGCTTCCAGATACACGAAGCGTAAATCGAGTTGGTTCGTTACTTTGACATGGTGAGGTCAAATAAATGACACTACTAGGATCCTGTGTGCGCGATTCGGAGACGCAGCACACATCGATGGAGCGAGATTCTAAAGTCTTAGCTAAGGAAGTCTGTTGTCCTATTCGGCACAATGTTCGGACGTTGAAAGCTCCTACGTGTAGTTTGGAGCTTGGTTTCAGGAGACCAGGAATAACGTCCCGCGTACTGGAATCGTTTACACTAGCGGGGCAAGGTGATAAAGGGACGTGAGAAGGGTTAGTCGTGGAGATAAGAGAGTTATTAGAAGGTGTATGAAGGATTTGAATGTGACCAACTTGGTTTCGTGTGCTGTTACGGGTATGAGGGCTGATGTCACTTCCCGGCTGCCCATATCGTGGAAGGGTATTTCTTGAGGAACCTGAAAAGGAAATTGGATTAATGTTGGCCTTAACGACCTGGGAGCGTGACCGCAGAGCCCAAGGGACAACTGCTTGAGGCCGGTTGCGCACGGACTTTTTGTGGGAGGTTTTTAATGTGTTAGCTCCATTCTTCAAACAGCCTTACCGCCGGAGACGGAAATCCGTGAGGTAAGGTGAGGTGTGACATTTTTAGGGTTGACTTTTTCTAACCCCTTCTTTCCTTGTGAGAAGGCAGTATCGCTGAAGATGCTGGTTTTTCGAGAGAAACATCTTACTGCTGTCACACCTCTGTACAGTCAGCAGTACGACTTCGCCCTCAGACTTTGAGTTGCTGCTTTTAGTCTTACCATTCTCCAATCGACCTGCCTGGCATGGTAGAATCTGCAGGAACATAAGTTCCAGCCAATATAGCTCGGTTGGGTCATCACGATAGGCAAGCCCGACCACCACGTCAAGGTAGCAGCTACGGTCGGGATAGGAGGACGGTACTCAGACCAATGAGAAATTAACAAGAACATCAACGAAGAACCAGTCTATAAACCAATTTGGAAGCAGCAAATCAATCATATGGCCAGAGGTCACCCGAAAAAGACATTCATCGTGAATATAAGGACAGTGCAGCATATATTTGAAGAAAAAGGCTGAGGAAAACCACAAAATATACAAAGACATCCAGACAAAGGCCGTCCAAACCAACTAACATAACATTTCTTTAAAATCTGGCAAGCCTACTTCTGCATGAATGGGACTGCAAAGATGTTTTACAGAATGAGAGCTCTTTAATTAACCCATCTAGCTCAAATGACATATCATCATCAAACAGTTCGAGAATTATGGTGCTTAAAAACTGTTAAGATATCTATAAAGAACTTCAATTGAGCGAATCAGTTTTTGAAAGTGTTATGTTCTATGCACTGTGAAATGTAGTTCTAGATTTTTAATTGTCACTATGCTCAAATGTTAACAGTTTCTGTTCTACAAGTCCTCTCCACCAGCCCTAAAGATATTTTAATAGATATATTTTAAAGTACATACATATGACGTAATATACTTTCTCAGTGAACAAGGTAGTATGGCAACTATACTCTCCTTACTAAATATGAGCAGGATAAAATAAGTACATTCATAATGTTAAATAAACCTTATCATTCTGCTGAAATCTATTTACGTTGTAGTTATCTTGTAAACAATTAATCAGAAAACAATATGGTATGATGAATTTATTGTGTCGTGTACATTCTATTATCCTTCTCTTATTTAAGTTTACAACTTAAAATACCCTACGTGAGGTTAACCATATTCCAAATAACTCAGTGGTAATATCTCTTATTCTTAAAATGTGATACAGGTTGTATCCGATTTACATTGGATTTAAACAAATACCACTCATCATTGTTCTTCGTATTCTATAGTTGATTAGTATTAGCGAATATGTAGTATACATGAGAAGTAGAAGATAGTTTTATTTTGTTTCATTGTTTAACAACAAACTTACCTTATAATCAGATAAATATCCCATAGCTCCTGAGTCAGGGAACAACTGAAAAACAAAATATCAAAAAGAGAATAAGCAAAATCATTTAAGTGTAATTACATATCCTTAATTTTTAAAAAAAAAAAATAAAACTCAAGTTTTATAAATTGTAGTGGTTACCGAGTCAGTCGCCACACATTTAAATCAGAAACTATAAGAACATTCATCAAACTAGTTCAGATATAAAATTCATGATGAATAGATCATTTCGTTTTGGATAGTTTTAAGGTAATTAAATGTACCCACAGTTCACAACTTTATTGAACTCATTATTAGTATCTAGCTATTATCATCATAATGTTAATTTCTGACTGAATGATGAATTATCTTATTCTTTTGTGATACAGTTACGTAAAGATTTGTCAAAGTTTTGAAACACTTAGTTAGTTAAATAAATCCTTATTTTTATAATCTCTTCACATATTCATTCTTTAATTTACTTTTAATTATTGTCATTCACATACTTTAAAAATAATCAAGTCAGAACCAATGGGAAATTTTCCATTGTGTTTGAGTAACACTAACTGGTTCAAAGTACAATATTTATGACTTCTTAACGATGGGACTTAAAGAACAAGTAACTAAAAACAATTATCCTCTCATAGAAATTCTTTCTATTCAAATATTTATTTTAAAAAATATGGATTTAATGACATAATTTCAATAGTTGAAATCATGAATCAATTGAAGCTAGACCACCATCATGGAAAACCTGGAAGCACTGGACGGCTGTTTCGTCATAGTATGGGACTCCTCAGTGGCAGTGTGCATCCACGATCCCGCTCCCCCCTCAGAGAGATTCGAACCCAGGACCTATCAGTCTCGCACCAGGCACTTAACCAACTAGACCACTGAGCTGGCTAACGTCCAACGGTGTTAATGTCTAATTTCAACCAATCCAAGAAGTTGCGCCACCGTACAGCATTGTCTTCAGTGAGCTGATATCTCACAACAGACCTGGTTAAACTCCACTGGTAACGGCTTCTCACTAGAACTCCATGAGTATCTCTTGAAGTCAGTCACTAATGAGCTTCAATTAATTTATGATTTCAACTATTGAAATTACCAATTCTCCATAAAACCCCTTCTAGTATGAATGACATAAACCAATCATATTATTATTGAAATAAATCAATAAATTTGACATTGTTTAGAATACAATTAAAAAAAAAACTAAAAATCTCAAATGAAACATGTGCCATGGTATTTATCTTATTAATCAGTTTATCATGACTATGTTCATCAATGAGGATATTATCTTTGCTCTGTTTATTGATTTATTTATGTTTATTATTATTATTATTCTCAATAATCTTGATTGGTTTACAATTCAACCATATCGTTCTATAGAATGCTTTATTACCATGTATTACATTTCATCAGATATCACATGTTTCAAACTAAACTCCCTTTTTTGAAAGTTCATTCAATTCCAATATGATTAAAAATATTTTCATAGAAATTATGATCACATTTAATGACCTCTGATAATGATATCTGATGTGATCATATGCAAAATGATAACTATGATACTGTTTAACCTCTAATTTCCTTAGTTCGTTCTCTTGATTAAATTTCTTGTGATTGACCATGTGTACATAGACAAAGTAGTTTTGTTAATGAAAAAAAAAAATTTTCTGACAAAAAATGAAGCTTCTTTCGAACAAACTATCGTTTTTATATTGATTGAGTCGATTAAGCTAGTATGTTATTTGATTGATTTCAGTAATTCCATAAATCTTTTTTGTTAATGATTAGTGTGGATTACGCTAATGTATAGTATCTAAGATAATAGTAAGATTTACTATAGCACATTGTTGAAATCATACAAACCAGTAGTCCACAGCTGTTCACTTAAGTTTTTGAAACTTGGGGACATAATTAGTTTATGGATGTTTGTATAGTTTCTGTAGATAACATCAGAATAACAGTGCAAATGCTGAGTTCAAAAGTAAAATCAAGAATAAAACAGGTCACTTTGTGTATTCTTGAGCATGTTATGACTGAAATGATTAAATCACGAGTTATGCTTCACGATGAAAGTTAAGAGATGACAAAAAATCTGCGACGGGATTCACCGATAGTTGTTTAACATAGTACAGACAGTTGAACACCTCTTAAAAAACCATAAAGCCAGTAGTTTATTCCTAAGATGACATACGTTAAAATCCAACACAATTCCACTGGATGAGCATCCAGTGGAATGCAACGATATTTGCTTTATAAACTTTAGTGAATCATATTTATTTACTTTCTATTTTAGCGATAAATAACCAGAGTGTAGCTGCCTTTATGAAAGAGATTCTCCCTGAATAATAACAATATCAATAAAATCCTTGTCACAAGCTGAAAATATTCGTCACATAAAAAACTTATCCCGATAGAATATCGGATTATTTAAACTGATATGTTAGATTTTTGTAGTGTAAGCAATGATGGATAGTGGCTAGCAGTGGAATCCAGAACGCGCGTTTCATCCTATTTGGGACTCGTCAGCTGGATGTACCTGCATGTCAGAGTTGAACATCAACAAGCTCAATGGATATTATGTTGGCATTTGAAGTAAAAGGTGCATAGTTCGAGTCTCACTGTAAATATCATAACTGTGATCCAAGTATATACAACTGTAGGATCTCAAACAGGCCGAAATATGTTCACTAAATTCCACTACAAACCATAGTAACAAATTTGATGAGACTAAAAGTGGCTTAAATTTCAAACCAAATGTCCCGGTGATATACATCAAACAGAAACCACAATACTCAGTTAATAAGTATGCATCATTGATTATTGTAATGGATTGATACCTAACGAAGTTAGGTTAAATTTGACAACTAATGCTAATTTTAGTGAATCAATAATTAAATAGAGTAGAATGAGAAAACTAAATTATATTTTGGTGAATTTGACCAGAAAATTTGGGTTTAGGACATTTCATGTGTACAGTACACAAATTTTTGTACCTGAAAGATTTTTCGAATTAAATTATTGAAATGTAGATGGGAATATAAGGTGTTCAGTTATGAAATGTAATGAATGAATCATCTTTAATGTAACTCCTACTATAAGCCGCTTGACAACAATGAGTACTTTATTTAATTTTTAAAAAAATGCTTGAGGCAAGTAGGTAAGACAATTGGTTGGTAGTAATCAACACAAACCCCAAGTCTCAATATTTGTTTTTACTCCGAAATAAAAGTGAACTGAGATGACTGGATGAATTAAACCAGTAATCGTTAGCTGAAGCAGAAGCGATAAAAAAAACTTAAATCTGATTTATGTATTCTAAAAAAGACAGTCATAAACTTATCAATACGCTGGAAGATCATTTTTGTCTTTATATTGTGTTAGTGTTCATTTCGTTGTGTGTTCTTCCCCTACTGAACTCCTACTTTCTCCACATTAAAACCATTCCTTCATTCATACATTTCCATTCATTCAATTCTCTTCACTTATTTAAAATCTTCAGATTTAGTTCAATTATTACGCAACCCATCTTGTCATTTTTTTGCTTACAGGAATCACATGTAAGCCATTTATTACCTCTAAAACTACCATACGATTTATCCTAAATTCACTTGGTGTTGTTTAATTACAGACTGCAAATGATCAATCTCTTGTTGGCATATGTGCATCCTGTGCGGATTACCTCGATATAGCCTTATTTCATAAACTTTTTAAGCAAAGATAGATAGTGGCTAGCAGTGGAATCCTGGACTCACGTTTCGTCCTACCTGAGACTCGTCAGCTGAATGTACATGTATCCCAAAGTTGATGTTCACTACAAGATTCGAACCCAGTACCGTTCGCTTCAAACGTCATTGTGCTATCCGCTTAGCTACTAGGTCCTGATAGCCGCCTGCTTGTGCCATGGGCTGAATTTTCAAATTCACTTGGTGTTGTTTACTTGTATCCTCCCATCGTTATTTAGCACTTCAATTGATCAGTCTCTTATCTGCATCATCCACCCCATATATATATATATATATATATATATATATATATATATATATATATATTGATAAGCTTTGTCATTCCAATTGCTGACATTCACCTATATCAATTGTTTTACACGATATTTTACCTCGATTTAAACTTTTAATACAGATTTGGTTGTAACCAGGTAATGAGAAACCAGGAAATATAATGAATTTATATTATTCTTCATTTGTGTTTATTCTTTCGTTTGATTTAGATATTTATAAACTACATTGAAATACCATAGAATATGAACAACAATTTAATAAATGGTTATTTAGTCATTTTCAGTTTTCGATTTCAACTTCTTTCTTTCTTTCTCTTTTTCATTCTTTTTCTTTTTTTCTTTTTTTTTTAATGATTTATCGTCGTTGAAATAAATTCAATTTCATCCAACATTCCCATTTATCGATTATGATATTTGTATCCAGTCCTATATAGAATAGATTGTATTAGTCTATTAGTTAGTAATTGTTTATGAAACTTAAAAAATTATTATTATTATTTTTTTTCCTGTTTTGTTTTGCATAACTGTCAACTGTCAGATAGGAATGTTTTGTTGATTCTAAACAATAGATATATAGTTAAAAGAGGTGGATAAATTCAAAGATTTCTATGTAAATAAACTAGATGATTTATTTTTCAGTCAAATATTGAGTATAAATGTTTATAGGCTGTTAGTTATCTGGTCAATGTTAAAATTGAACACATGCAACTGGTCTACTAATTGACAGTTATTCAAATGTTTAGGTTGTAATAAGTTAAAAATTCTATTAAATTGATGTAGGTATTTTATTATGAATTATTTGATTATTCTCAGAAGGGGTTTTGTGGAGATTTTAGTAATTTCAATAGTTAAGATCATGAGTCAGTGGAAGCTAGACCAACACCATTGGAAAACCTGGAAACACTGGACGGCCGTTTCGTCCTATAATGGGACTCTTCAACAGTGCGCATCCACGACCTCGCCCCTCTGCGAGGTTCCAATCCAGGACATACTAGTTTCGCGCGCGAGCACTTAACCACTA